CCAAGGTGTGGCGTGCTGCGATGGATGCGGAGCTAAAGGCGCTGGAATCTCGTGACACCTGGGTCTTAGTCGATCGTGCAGCAGTGAAGGGGAGGAAGGTACTCAGCGGAAAATGGGTTTTTCGTCTCAAAACCAACGCGGACGGCACTATCAAGCGCTTCAAGGCACGCTGGGTCGTACGCGGGTACGATCAGCGACACGGCATCGACTTCGACCAGACCTTTGCTCCCGTCAGTCGCCACACTTCCGTCCGGATCCTACTCGCCATTGCTGCCGCTAAGCACCTGCCACTGCGACAGATCGACGTAAAGAACGCGTTTCTATACGCGTTGGTGGACGCCACCATCTTTGTGGAGCAGCCGCACATCTACGGAGAAGGTGATCCCAGGGTCTGTCAACTGAAGAAGTCCCTCTACGGGATCAAGCAGGCGCCTCGCCTCTGGCAGCAGCACCTGCACAAAATCCTCCTTGAAATCGGCTTCAAGCAGCTCCCACACGACCCGGGAATGTATCGTCTCCACTTCAGTGGCGACTACATTCTTCTGACAGTCTACGTCGACGACCTGCTGTACGCAGAGCAGCTAGGGGAACGCTTCAACATCTCCCCGGCACCGCTTTCAACTCCTTACCGCAACCCCAGCACCAACTACAAACCGGACAACAAACCACTGTCACCCGCAGGGCTCCAACTGTACCAGCAGCAACTGGGTTGCCTGCTATTCGCCTCTGTCACCTGCCGACCCAACCTTTCGTACATCGCTAGCCAACTGGCGCAGTATTCTCGCAAGCCAGTAGCTGAGAACCAGCTGGACCTGGAACGCGCCCTGTACTTCATCTCAACACCTGACATCGGGCTCTCCTACTCCACGCTGACGACGACCTCCTTCAATCTCAACTGCTACGTGGACGCGGATCATGCAGCTGATCCCGCAAATCGACGGTCCCGAACCGGCTTCGTTTTTCGCCTGGAATCCACTGGGCCAATCTCCTGGAACTCGCAGAAGCAGGAGCTGGTTGCCCTGTCATCGGCTGAAGCAGAATACATCGCCGCGACAGCAGCAGTTCGCGAAGGCCTGTACCTGCAGGAGATGTTACAGGAAGCGAAAATCCCAACCTCGCCCACCTTTCGCCTTCACTGCGACAACCAGAGTGCCATCAGAATCGCGAACAAGCTAGGATTCGTGAACCGCAAGAAGCACATCGCGCTTCGGTACTTTTTCGTCAAGGACGAAATTGACCAAGGAAAGGTTGACCTCGCCTACTGCCCGACCACTGAGATGGCAGCAGACTTCCTCACCAAACGCCTGCCACGTCAGCAGTACAAGCACTGCTCTGGCCTCACCGGAGTAGTCAAGCGAGTCAGCTCTCCTTGCGCCCAGGAATGAAGGGGAGTGTTACGATATGAAGTTTTATTAGAAGGCATTCCTGTATGCTGCAGGAGCCGACTCTACCGAGTACGAAGTCGAGGAGTCAGAAGAGTCGAAGCGACGCAGCAACCGTCTGACCAAGACTGATGCAGGCAGAAACATTTGAAGTGAAAAGAGCGGGAACAGGTTCAAAACGGGTTCCCGCGCCGCACGGTTTGAATTTGCTGTAATATGGGAATGTACCCCTTAGAGTACATGACTAGCCTAGGTCTTTTCGTATTCCCCTGTATTCTTATATAAACCCAATGTATGCATGCTATTATCAACTCAGTCATTTACATTCACTCTGACCTGCAATTCAAACTTCCGCTGCAACACTACTCTGCGATCAACCCTAAGCAATCCTTCGCTAAGTCCCTTTTGGGATTGTAAGTTGTAACAGAATTGATAAGGGAATCGACGAGGTTGCGGATTGGCCGGATGCAGTCATGTGTGTCGATGTCGAGGGAGTAATCCATGATTTTAGGGTACTATTTGTATAATGTCAGTGACCATCATAGTGGTCTTGCGGCTGCATGACATTGAAGTCTCGATGTTGTGAATATGGTAAGAAGGCTGGATAGTTAACTGGCATGTTAAAATCGTATGAAACTATGACCGGATTGTCTAGTTGTCCTACACAACTACACTTCCATCAATTTTAGGAGGTTCAGGGTTTTCGCTGTTGCAGTCGCCATTGAGTTCATTACAATGGACGTGACAGTGACGGTGTCGGACACAAACAACCAGGATATTCGGCTGCTTTTAGCGAACGTAACTGGTTGACCATGTCGCAAATCCAGCTTTTTGTGAAAGCCAGTGGGCGAATTTGACTTGCGACTTTCGCTTCCAGTGGGCGAGAATGTCAGCTACCCAGGTGAAAGCCCATGGCGTTTGACGAAATTCCGCTGGTCCAACCACCGACAAGCACAGGCCGGTTATGGGCGATGTGATGGCGTGGGGGCGGTCCGCTATCGTCGCCATCGCCATTTTGCTTCTGGAAAGACTGTACATCCTGGTTTCTCAGTTACCCGATGGTCAGATGATTCGTTCAATGATTCGATATGTTTTTAGATGAGGTGTCCACTGCATATCGTTGCTGGCTTCTTGCGATCGGCAGATCTGAAAGTCTGGAGGCCTTTTGTCAGGGGCTGTCGATTCCAGGATAGATCCCCTTGTTCCCGCGGTTATCAGGGTCCTAATTCAGGAAATTTAGAATATCTAGCGGGACTACTGTCCCATCCCCGACCCCTATTTTTCTACCCCTTTCTGTCCTCCCCTTACCAGCCAGACCTTCCATCCAAACTGGTGTGATGAGAGCTGCATCGAGAACAGCTCAATAACTTCCATGTTATATAGCTGTTAATCTGTAAATGACCAGGTGCTGCTCTGCCAGGTCCCCACAAGAAAAGAGAGGGCCTCGAGCGGCCTAGAGTTGCCCACAACTAATATATTGCCTTAAGGCTATGGGGGAATGTATCCCACCCTGTTTATTACATCTTAGAATGTCCCGGCACTAACAAATTGTAGTCTGGGTGGCTCCGAACCAATTACCTTCCATCCCAATTGCCTCCCCATCCCATCCCATCCCATCCCGTAATTACAGTACTTGGCTGCCTTCCATTCCCTCTCCTGCAGTTACAGCATTTCGCGGGCTTTCATTCAGCCAAGTTCCTCAGATCAGATCAGAACTCAACCGTCAGCTGCCCCTCTCTTATATCAACCCCGCCAAACTGCACGTCACATCCCATACACAGTAACAACCTCCGATGTCCAGGGTTACGACAAGCTGCTCCACTGCCGTCGCCAGGCTTGCTGCGACTCGTGCTGGTGACGTGGGCCGTGACTTTCTCTCTCGAAAGTTTCTCCACCAGCGGGGAATAGTAGTCTCGGTTTTTTATTGGCTGGTACATGCCCGAGGCGTTTGGGTTCTTCTGGGGAAACGCTCCATAGTGACTGTTCGGTGGGATACGTTCCAAAGCGGTGTCCGGCAAGAACCCTTCTTATCGTGTAAACGCTTTCTCAACCGTACTGAACAATCAGCCACCGAACAGGCGGGACCTCGACTGCACGGTATTTCGGTGTCTTCCGTTTCAACGCAATAGTTGCTGAGTACATTCTCTTACCCTGGAAAAGCCCTATTAAACCGCATGAAGTTCAGTGAACCAACTCGCTGTCATCGCACAACGAGAAAGCAAAACTCAATTCGCAGTAATTCTCGAGAAATCCATGGCTTCGAGCTTCCAGCAAAGATGACTCGAGCAGACTACTTCGCCGAATCTCACGCGATTGCAGAGAGTCGTCTGTAAATCTTGCGTAGGACAGATCGAATCGCAGGCTTTTACCCCTGGCGGGTGGTACTATTATGCTCTTTCTCAGCTGTGAAGGTCTTTCGGATCTGTAGTTAGTACAGAGCGCAAATCTCGCAAGCGGGTAGGCGGACCACCGTCGCGTAGGGCCGATGTGACTGATTCCTTACGATTATTTTGCACGTATAATAGAATCTTGTGTTCTCCTTGGTTGAACTTTCGTTTCGGAAATTTGAATCGCCGCCGCTCTCGCGCGTTGTTCGACCCCGCGGCGAGTGGCACGAGTCGCGTACAGTCGCATGCCGTCGCCATGCTCGCATGTGGTACTTGCTCTGCAGCAGCATGCGAATCCGTGGCGAGCAATCGCCGAAAACACTCGCAGCCGTCGCATCATCCATCGCAGCCGTCGCAGCCGTCGCTGGCGGCGTCATCGCATCAGCTCCATCATACCCCCCATCACCCCTCGTGCAAAGCCCATCCACACTTGCCCAAAAATTCATCGCTATTGTCACAATCGATACAGACACAATCACCACCATCACCACCATCATCATCACTACATCGCCCCCCTCTAACGGTAAACCAACGCTTGATCCTCCTCCTCCTCCTCCTCACCGGGTTCCTCCTCGGCTCTCTCTCCGCTCACGTCCTCCTTTTAGACGGCCTCGCTACGCTCTCAACGCTCTCCCGCCACCGCGGCGCAGCGGCGGCCCTGCTCACTGGTGCTTCCGCCGCCGCCGCGCGGCGACAGCTCGACCGGCGGCGCCGCTCGCTTCCGCAGCCACCGCCACCGCCGCCGGCTCCGTCATCGTCTTCGTCATCGTCGCCATCGTCTTCGTCATCGTCTCCGTCATCGTCTTCGTCATCATCGCCATCCTCTTCGTCGACGTCGCTACCGCCGCCTGCGACTGGCGACACCGGCTCCTCGTCGAGCGCCGGGAATCAGGGCGGCGGTATACCTTCGCGCGAAGGGTTACAAAAGAGTACGACGACGACGACGACGACGGCGCTGAGTGGACAGCGCGAAAGCGGCGGCGTCTCGTCGATGCGTGGCAATTCCACGTCAGCGCCGTCTATATCCACGTCCGCATCGCCATCGTCAATATCCTCGTCGGCGTCGCCTGCAGCAACAGCGGCGGCGGCGACGGTTCCGGCGGGGCCGCCGGAATTAGATCCGGAGGCGCGCCATCGCATGGTGCAATCGCACGAGCTGCAGCGAGCGCTGGCGACGATGACGAAAGGTCGCAGCGTGTGCGCGACGATCGCGAACGTCGCGTTCGAGGATATGTTGCTCAATTGGTGGGAGCACACGCGGCGGTGCGGGATACAGAACGTGCTGGTCGGGGCGCTGGACGACTATACCATGAACGTAGGTATCCCTTTAACGCGTACGGTTTTGCTTCACCCAGCGTTCGTGCTGCTCGCGTGTGTACGGTCTCCGTGCAGATTTGATGGGTCACGTCTTTTTTTTTTCTTTTTTCTTTTTTGTGTTCACGGTAGACTTGTAGAGATATGGTGGAATTGACTGGTTTGTGCTTCAATCGTCGCCCTCGTCTTCTATCTGTACCTCGCCCTGGTTTCTTGACGCGTGCGTTTCTTCGTTATGACGCTTGGTTAGGTTTCTCTGACGTCCCTCGCTTTCGTCTCCCGTTCTACCCCTCTCGTCTACGTCTCTATTTGACGTCTCACGTCTACGTCTGCCTGTCACGCCTCCCGTTATCTTCTCTCATCTGCCTGTCTACGTCTGGGTGGGAAGAGGAGGGAAGCCATTGAGGGGATGTGCGGGGGGAGGGGAGTGGGGGTAAGGGGCGCAGAGTGGGAGGAAGGGGCGCGGAGTGGGGGGAAGGGGCGCGGAGTGGGGGGAAGGGGCGCGGAGTGGAGGGGTGGGGGATGCACTTTAGGGTTTGTGAGGCTTATCCTACCTTTCAAATAATACCATAACCCTGTCACTGCCCCTCTTCCCCATACCCTTTTCCCCTCCTTTGCCTTCCCCATCTCCCCCTCATTTCTCCCAACCGCAGTTAACCCAACATCACCGCATCCCATCCATCCGCCTGCACGGGGTGCTCCCTCCAGGAAACTTCCGGAGCAACGCCACGGCTTTCCAGGGCATGGGCATGTTAAAGACGGCTTTAGTCTCGGCAGTATTAGAATCTGGGTGGGACGTGCTACTAAGTGACACTGACGTGGTCTGGCTAAGAGATCCCCACGCGTACTTTTACGAGAATGCTGACGTGGCGCATGCTGACGTGTTCGTGACGTCCGATTCGCTCTCTCACAGCAATGACGTGGCGAGGTACGGTACAGCGCGGTGTGGTGTGGTGTGGTGTGCATGGCATGCAGCTTGAAATACACTAATGAATGTCACTGATACTTGCCGTACCATTCTCGAGTAATGCCACCATACTGGTCCTTCTTGCAGTGCTACTCCCCACGCTCTATGCTCTGTGCACCCTTTTTGTGCGGCCTCCCCTCCGCTCTAATACTTCCCCCCTCTCTCCTGCCCCCTCCACACCTCCCCCTCTCATTTTCCTCTTCCCTTCTGACTTCTCCCCTCAGCCCGCCCTCATCCCCTTGTTCCCCAACATCCCTCTCCCTGGGTTTAGGGTTTAGGGGGATGGTCGGCACGGACGCGCAGGGCTGGTTCTGCAATACAACTCTGCGTGCAGTGAGGTGTATTTTGAGGCGCCTCAAAATACACCGCAGGGCTGGTTCTGCAATACAACTCAACTCCCCACACTCTGCATGTCCCATCCCGCTACCGTCCTTGCCCTGCCTCACCTCTCCCCCCACTCACTTCCCCCTTCCCCAACCTGCTTCTCCCCACCACAGCCAGCAGCGCAACCCCAGTGTTGGCACGGATGCACATGGCTGGTTCCGAAACGCCACTCTCCAAGTTCTGTGCTCCTCCTGACCCCTCTCCTGCCCCTTCCAACTCTCCCCCTTTCCCTCCGTATCCCTGCTCTTCCCCCCTCGCAGCCAGCAGCGCAACCCCAGTGTGATGGTTGGCACGGACGCGCAGGGCTGGTTCCGAAACGCCAACCCCCACGCTTTGTACTCCTGACCTGACCTCTGTCGTGCAACCACGTGAAAAAAGAAGAGCTTTGAGACGTCTCAAAACGCCAACCCCCACGCTTTGTACTCCTGACCTCTGTCGTGCAACCTCCAACTCCTTCTCCTCCCCTTTCCTCTCCTCGCAGCCAGCAGCGCAACCCCAGTGTGATGGTCGGTACAGACGCGCAGGGCTGGTTCCGAAACGCCACTCCTCGGGCAACCGAAATTTTCGGCAACGCGTACGAGCACGCACTCAACACAGGGATTCTTTTTTTCCGGGCATCCCCTGATTCTGTCGCGCTGGCGCTGACGTGGCACCACGCCATGCGGACCCGAGGACGCAGCGAGGGGTGGGAGAAGATATGGGGGGACCAGCACGCATTCAATATGCTGCTTCGATATAAGATGTTTCCTATACAGGTGTGGTAGGGTGGTGGGGTGCAGTGCGGTGTGGTGGGGTGTGCGGTGTGGTGTGGTGTGCGGTGGGGTGGGGTGGGGTGTGATGTGGTGCGGCGTGGGGTGTGGGGTGGGGTGTCCTGTGGTGTGGTGGGGTAGGGTGTGCAGTTTGGCGTGCGGTGTGGCATGGGCTGCAGCGAGGGTTGGGAGAAGATATGGGGGGATCAGCATGCGTTCAACCTGCTGCTCCGATATAAGATGTTTCCCATACAGGTGTGGTAGGGTGCGATGGGGTATGGCAGGTGTGGCTGTCTCTTCCCCCACCACAGGCCGTCCCATCAGCAACCGGGTCTTCTGGGCCTTCTTTGCTTCAAATCAACTCAAGGCACTTCCCCCATTTCCTCCATCTCCTTCCTCTCTCTCCAATGCTCCCGCTTCGCCCCATCCTCCCCCTCCCCATATCCTCCCCCCCCCCCCCTCCTCCCTCCCCCTTCCCCTCCCCTCCCCTCTCCCAGGTCGTCTCCTCCCCTCCTTCCTTCCTCCCCGTTCCCCTTCCCCTTATCCTCCGCTTCCCCCTCCTCCCTCCCCTCTCCCCCCTCAGGTCGTCTCCTCCCCCACCACCGGGCGTCCCATCAGCAACCGGGTGTTCTGGGCCTTCTCCCGTCGCCTCAAGCTCGCGCTGCTGCCCCTCGCGCTCTTCTACAACGGCCACGTCTTCTTCGAGCAGCAGATGCCCAGGCGGATCGGGGTCACCCCCTACGCAGTGCACAGCACATTCCAGTTCCACTATGGCGCCGGGAAGATCGGGCGGTTCAGGGAAGCAGGCCTGTGGGCTCGGGATCCCCCCGAGTGAGTCCTTTTCTCTCCCTTCTCCGTCATTCCTGAGCAAGGTGTATTTATGAACTCTCAAAAGCGCCCTACTCTACGCGCTCTTCTGTCGTTGCTTGGGAGGTGTTGCTTGGGAGGTGTTGCGTAGGAGGTGTTGCTTGGGAGGTGTTGCTTGGGAGGTGTTGCGTAGGAGGTGTTGCTTGGGAGGTGTTGCTTGGGAGGTGTTGCTTGGGAGGTGTTGCTTGGGAGGTGTTGCTTGGGAGGTGTTGCTTGGGAGGTGTTGGCCTGTTGCCATACGTGGTGTGGTGCGCAGCATGCCCCCATGCTCATGCCTCCCCTTCGAGGTGTTGGCCTAGCTGAGAGGTCTAGTTCCGATTTCGCGCATGCCTCCTTTTGAGGCGCCCCAAAATATTTCGCGCATGCCTCCTTTTGAGGCGCCCCAAAAGATTTCGCGCATGCCTCCCATGCTCAACATGCCTCCCATGCTCAACATGCCTCCCATGCTCAACATGCCTCCCATGCTCAACATGCCTCCCATGCTCAACATGCCTCCCATGCTCAACATGCCTCCCATGCTCAACATGCCTCCCATGCTCAACATGCCTCCCATGCTCAACATGCCTCCCATGCTCAACATGCCTCCCATGCTCAACATGCCTCCCATGCTCAACATGCCTCCCATGCTCAACATGCCTCCCATGCTCAACATGCCTCCCATGCTCAACATGCCTCCCATGCTCAACATGCCTCCCATGCTCAACATGCCTCCATGCTCAACATGCCTCCCATGCTCAACATGCCTCCCATGCTCAACATGCCTCCCATGCTCAACATGCCTCCCATGCTCAACATGCCTCCATGCTCAACATGCCTCCCATGCTCAACATGCCTCCCATGCTCAACATGCCTCCCATGCTCAACATGCCTCCCATGCTCAACATGCCTCCCATGCTCAACATGCCTCCATGCTCAACATGCCTCCCATGCTCAACATGCCTCCCATGCTCAACATGCCTCCCATGCTCAACATGCCTCCCATGCTCAACATGCCTCCCATGCTCAACATGCCTCCCATGCTCAACATGCCTCCCATGCTCAACATGCCTCCCATGCTCAACATGCCTCCCATGCTCAACATGCCTCCCATGCTCAACATGCCTCCCATGCTCAACATGCCTCCCATGCTCAACATGCCTCCCATGCTCAACATGCCTCCCATGCCTCAACATGCCTCCCATGCTCAACATGCCTCCATGCTCAACATGCCTCCCATGCTCAACATGCCTCCCATGCTCAACATGCCTCCCATGCTCAACATGCCTCCCATGCTCAACATGCCTCCCATGCTCAACATGCCTCCCATGCTCAACATGCCTCCCATGCTCAACATGCCTCCCATGCTCAACATGCCTCCCATGCTCAACATGCCTCCCATGCTCAAACATGCCTCCATGCTCAACATGCCTCCCATGCTCAACATGCCTCCCATGCTCAACATTGCCTCCTCCATGCTCAACATGCCTCCCATGCTCAACATGCCTCCCATGCTCAACATGCCTCCCATGCTCAACATGCCTCCCATGCTCAACATGCCTCCCATGCTCAACATGCCTCCCATGCTCAACATGCCTCCCATGCTCAACATGCCTCCCATGCCTCAAATGCCTCCCATGCTCAACATGCCTCCCATGCTCAACATGCCTCCCATGCTCAACATGCCCTCCCATGCTCACCATGCCTCCCATGCTCAACATGCCTCCCATGCTCAACATGCCTCCCATGCTCAACATGCCCTCCCATGCTCAACATGCCTCCCATGCTCAACATGCCTCCCATGCTCAACATGCCTCCCATGCTCAACATGCCTCCCATGCTCAACATGCCTCCCATGCTCAACATGCCTCCCATGCTCAACATGCCTCCCATGCTCAACATGCCTCCCATGCTCAACATGCCTCCCATGCTCAACATGCCTCCCATGCTCAACATGCCTCCCATGCTCAACATGCCTCCCATGCTCAACATGCCTCCCATGCTCAACATGCCTCCCATGCTCAACATGCCTCCCATGCTCAACATGCCTCCCATGCTCAACATGCCTCCCATGCTCAACATGCCTCCCATGCTCAACATGCCTCCCATGCTCAACATGCCTCCCATGCTCAACATGCCTCCCATGCTCAACATGCCTCCCATGCTCAACATGCCTCCCATGCTCAACATGCCTCCCATGCTCAACATGCCTCCCATGCTCAACATGCCTCCCATGCTCAACATGCCTCCCATGCTCAACATGCCTCCCATGCTCAACATGCCTCCCATGCTCAACATGCCTCCCATGCTCAACATGCCTCCCATGCTCAACATGCCTCCCATGCTCAACATGCCTCCCATGCTCAACATGCCTCCCATGCTCAACATGCCTCCCATGCTCAACATGCCTCCCATGCTCAACATGCCTCCCATGCTCAACATGCCTCCCATGCTCAACATGCCTCCCATGCTCAACATGCCTCCCATGCTCAACATGCCTCCCATGCTCAACATGCCTCCCATGCTCAACATGCCTCCCATGCTCAACATGCCTCCCATGCTCAACATGCCTCCCATGCTCAACATGCCTCCCATGCTCAACATGCCTCCCATGCTCAACATGCCTCCCATGCTCAACATGCCTCCCATGCTCAACATGCCTCCCATGCTCAACATGCCTCCCATGCTCAACATGCCTCCCATGCTCAACATGCCTCCCATGCTCAACATGCCTCCCATGCTCAACATGCCTCCCATGCTCAACATGCCTCCCATGCTCAACATGCCTCCCATGCTCAACATGCCTCCCATGCCTCCCATGCTCAACATGCCTCCCATGCTCAACATGCCTCCCATGCTCAACATGCCTCCCATGCTCAACATGCCTCCCATGCTCAACATGCCTCCCATGCTCAACATGCCTCCCATGCTCAACATGCCTCCCATGCTCAACATGCCTCCCATGCTCAACATGCCTCCCATGCTCAACATGCCTCCCATGCTCAACATGCCTCCCATGCTCAACATGCCTCCCATGCTCAACATGCCTCCCATGCTCAACATGCCTCCCATGCTCAACATGCCTCCCATGCTCAACATGCCTCCCATGCTCAACATGCCTCCCATGCTCAACATGCCTCCCATGCTCAACATGCCTCCCATGCTCAACATGCCTCCCATGCTCAACATGCCTCCCATGCTCAACATGCCTCCCATGCTCAACATGCCTCCCATGCTCAACATGCCTCCCATGCTCAACATGCCTCCATGCTCAACATGCCTCACATGCCTCCCATGCTCAACATGCCTCCCATGCTCAACATGCCTCCCATGCTCAACATGCCTCCCATGCTCAACATGCCTCCCATGCTCAACATGCCTCCCATGCTCAACATGCCTCCCATGCTCAACATGCCTCCCATGCTCAACATGCCTCCCATGCTCAACATGCCTCCCATGCTCAACATGCCTCCCATGCTCAACATGCCTCCCATGCTCAACATGCCTCCCATGCTCAACATGCCTCCCATGCTCAAACATGCCTCCCATGCTCAACATGCCTCCCATGCTCAACATGCCTCCCATGCTCAACATGCCTCCCATGCTCAACATGCCTCCCATGCTCAACATGCCTCCCATGCTCAACATGCCTCCCATGCTCAACATGCCTCCCATGCTCAACATGCCTCCCATGCTCAACATGCCTCCCATGCTCAACATGCCTCCCATGCTCAACATGCCTCCCATGCTCAACATGCCTCCCATGCTCAACATGCCTCCCATGCTCAACATGCCTCCCATGCTCAACATGCCTCCCATGCTCAACATGCCTCCCATGCTCAACATGCCTCCCATGCTCAACATGCCTCCATGCTCAACATGCCTCCCATGCTCAACATGCCTCCCATGCTCAACATGCCTCCCATGCTCAACATGCCTCCCATGCTCAACATGCCTCCCATGCTCAACATGCCTCCCATGCTCACATGCCTCCCATGCTCAACATGCCTCCCATGCTCAACATGCCTCCCATGCTCAACATGCCTCCCATGCTCAACATGCCTCCCATGCTCAACATGCCTCCCATGCTCAACATGCCTCCCATGCTCAACATGCCTCCCATGCTCAACATGCCTCCCATGCTCAACATGCCTCCCATGCTCAACATGCCTCCCATGCTCAACATGCCTCCCATGCTCAACATGCCTCCCATGCTCAACATGCCTCCCATGCTCAACATGCCTCCCATGCTCAACATGCCTCCCATGCTCAACATGCCTCCCATGCTCAACATGCCTCCCATGCTCAACATGCCTCCCATGCTCAACATGCCTCCCATGCTCAACATGCCTCCCATGCTCAACATGCCTCCCATGCTCAACATGCCTCCCATGCTCAACATGCCTCCAGCCCTGATCATGCATGATCTCCCACGTGAAGCGAGGTTGTTTTTGAGACGTCTCAAAAAAATCCCCCCCCAACTCCCAACCACCCTCTCTCCCCCTCCTTCTCCTGCCATCTCTCCACCCAGGTTCTACACCCGAGGAAACTTCCTCTCGTTCGACGTGAAGCTTCCTGCATGGATAGAGGCCATGCCCACAGGCATAGACAAGCACGAGGCAACCATCGAGTACGCTTATGTGAGTTTCACTCACCTCTCTCGCTTTCACTTCTACCGCTTTTACTTCTACCGCTTTCACCTCTACTGTTCTCCCTTCTCTTTACTTCTTTCTCGCCCCTCTCTTGCTCTTTCTTACCCCCACCGCCCCCCCCCCCCCACCCACACCGCATTCCCTCTTCCCCTTCTCTTCCTGCTCCCCTTCCCCGTTTCCCCTCTCGCAGGCTGTAACCCGGAAAGCCCTTGCCATTGCTCGGCTACTCAATCGCTTCCTCATCCTGCCTCACGTCACTTGCTACTGTGACCGGTGAGTCAAGCTAAGAAATCTCTTGTTCCTTATTTCCTTCTTCTCTCCTCCTGCCCCCCTCTTTCCGTCCCTTATTCCTCCCCTCTCTCTCAGTTCACCTCCCCTCCTTCCGATGTACCATATACAACCAAGAATCCCTGCTTGTTTTCACCTGAATCTCACTACCATACAAAACCCTCCTCTGTTGTTTTCTCCTGCAGGTGGTGGGACAGCCTATGGGAGCCATGCAGGGCACCTGGCGGAGACATAGACCCCCCCTTCACCTGCCCTATAGATCTCTTTATTAACCCCATGGCCTGGGGATCCGATCCTACCACTATGGTCTATCGCCCAGCCTCCTTCCTCTCTTTACCGCAAGTCCCCAACGAGATTCGTCTGTCAAAAGCCGTCGTGGAAGTTCGTTCCAAGTCGGTTTCTTCGGTTGAGGAGGCTTCCTCGCGCGTTCCTGCAGCTGGCGGGGAGCTTTCTCCGAAGCTTCTTTCAGGCCCGTTATTCTTTTCAGAGGGAGGAGGGGTGCAGAATCATGGAGAATCGGTACCAGGGTATTCACTAGAGGGCGGGAACAGGAGGGTGGATTTGGAGAACAGGGGAAGTGTGCAGGAAGGCAGGAGAGAAGGGAGAAAGGAGGAGGGCAGGGGAATAGGAGGGCAGGAGGAGAAGGGAAGCAGGAGCGAGGGCAGGGAGAAAGGGCGGGTGTTTTTAAAGCGACGGTGCACATTTGCCACCCAAAACCCAGAACCCTGGCGAACTGTTACTGCGGATGGAAAGTGTCCGCACGAAATCCTGGTTTTCGCCAGCCAGCACTTTCGCGCTGGCAAGCCTGGTTCAAAAAAAAAACTTCTGAACCCAACACTGCCAAAAGTTGCCCGTCGCTTTAACTGCCAATGCAACGGATGGAGAGGTGCAGAGGAGTTTGGGAGGGTTCGACTCGGTGAGAGTGCTTCATCTGGCCGATGCTGCTCACTCCTTCTGCCGGTGAGAGAGAAATAAATGGGGGGGAAAGAGGGGGGGAGGGGTTGGGGGTGAAGGGAAAAAACGGGGTGGGAGGGGTTTATGGGGAGTATGTAGGGATTGAGGGACGAGGAGGGACAAGGAAGAGCGAGGGTTTGCCTGTAAGAGTGGGGTTCGAGAGAGGGAGAGGAGAGGGGAATGGGGAGAAGGGGGGCTGGAAGGGGGGCAGGGAAGGAGGGGGGGATGTAGGGAGCGAGCGACAGTGGATTCATTGACTCTGTGGTTCGTTCATTCATTCTCTCGGCTGCATGCAATACTGAGCTTGTGTTTGATCCTCCTGGTTACCCTGGTTACCAGCAGGCACGTTGGTCCGCACAGATACCGTGGATGGATGCATTTCGACAACTTCACTCGGATTCTGTTTCATTCCAACAGATTCTTTTGCACTCTCAACTTACCCGACCGGTACCTTACTCAGCTTGTCTTTGCTTCTTCCTCCTGGTTACCTGGTTACCTGCAGGCACGTTGGCGCAGGTACAGTGGATGCTTTCGACAAGCTCACTCAAGCCTTCTTCACTCTCGACTGGTGCTGCAGCCCCCGGCACGAGACACGCAAATTCAAAATCGAGTCACTCGCAAATGTTACATTTGCGTCCTGTAACCGTTTCGATGTACGATGATTACAGCAATATGTCTGCTATGCAGTGCAGTGCAATCAATATGTTTTCCATCCCTGTCTGTGCAGTACACTAATGAAGCGGTATGCATGCACGAAAATATGTCTGCCGTGGTGTTGTGCGGTGCAGCAGGGTGTGATGCGATGCGGTGCAAGGTGATAGGGTTGGGATGAATCAAGCAAGGGTAAATAATAATGAAATGAAACTGTTGACTCTCGGGTCAAATTTCATTTCCACTGTGCACTTGCACTAGTATGGAGTACTATTTTTGTAGCACAATGTGTTCAGGTTTCAGTTGGTTGGTAAACCATCAGCAGTTACCGTAAAGCAAGAGTTACAGTATGGAACTGCACAAATCAGAAGAACCATTTACAGTACCGTATCTGGATTCATTTACCGTATGTCAAGGTAGGTGTATAAAGAATGGTGTGAATGTGAATTCTTTCCACCACACCACTGTTTCACAACTCGGGTGCGTGTACTGTACTACCATACCCTACAGCACTTGTTACACCTACCATACCTACAACATACGCTATGCAAAACAGGCACCCGCTTAATTACAGCCTGACGCAACCACATGAACCAGTGCCCACTGCCCAGTGCCCACACTCCAAAAGAAACGCGTGCAGATTTTTATCCCATCTCTAATCATGCATACTCCCCTGTGGCACCAAACAGCAGCATGTCACAGATGTCTCGAGTTAGCGAACCTTCTTTCTTCCCCAGACACGGAAACCTTTTCAGAAACACCCCTACCTCCCACTCTCCTTCCTCTTAGGCACAAGCAGTCTCTGAAGCGACCACACGAGCGACTCGGTAATCGCGTGCCCCACCTCTCCTGTGATTTCGCTATCATACTCGCATGTATAGTGCGGGTTGAAATACGCACATGAGTCTAAGTACCTCGGAGCCGCTACATGCCACAGGTCCACAAACGAGATTCCTTCTCTCTCTGCGAGCTTCTTAGCCAGCTGATTCGCAAAGACTATTGCCTGGTTCGTTCTGCCGTTGCACAAGGCCGTAGAGAATCCCGTCGGGAAGGGAGGAGCCGACACAAAGAGCACCGAGCGAATCGGGCGGCCTCGGGCGGCTCTACTTGTGTTCAAACCTCCCACACTGCTGCTGCCTCCGCTGCTGCTGCTGCTGCTGCTGTTCCCCCCACCACCGCTGTTCCCGCCGCTGCTGCTGTTTCTCCAGCTCTCATTCCTCACGGACTTGAGCCAGTCTAGGAACACAGGGAGGCCCCGTGCATATGCGACCTCAGGCTCAGTGCAGAAGGTAAAGCTCCAGTGCGCGCTGTTTGCCAGTAGCACGTCTGGCGTGGGCCTGATTACCGGGAATGCCGTGTCTCTCCCTGAGTACTTGCCCCGGTTGCTGCGGGGAGAAGGACGGGGGGAAGGGGGGGAGGAGACGGGGGGGAGAAGGGGGGGAGGAGAAAGGGGGGAGAAGGGGGGAAGACGGGGCAGAGGAGGGAGCGAGATAGGGGGGAGAAGTCAAGGGGAGAAGGGGGAGATGAGGGGGAAGGAGGCTACGTTTGCATGCAACCTCAGGCTCGGTGCAAAGGCAAGGCTACAGCGCGCGCTGTTTGCCAGTAGCACAGGATACTTCCCCCGATCGTTGGAGAGAGAAGGCCGGGGAGGGAAAGCCAGGGAGGGAAGGCCGGGGAGGGAAGGCCGGGGAGGGAAAGGGGAACAGGTGGTGGGGATTGCCGAGTTACGAGTCACCATGTGCAGGCATTTTGAGAAACAAGTTGCAACAATGCCTGAGGGAAGGGAAAAGAAGGGGAGGGGAGGGAAGGGGAGGGTAGGGGAGGGAAGGGGAGGGTAAGGGAGGGGAGGGGAGGGGAGGGGAGGGGAGGGGAGGGGAGGGGAGGGGAGGGGAGGGGAGGGGAGGGGAGGGGAGGCGAAGGGAGGCGAAGGGAAGGGAAGGGAAGGGAAGGGAAGGGAAGGGAAGGGAATGGAAGGGAAGGGAAGGGAAGGGAATGGAAGGGAAGGGAAGGGAAGGGAATGGAAGGGAAGGGAAGGGAATGGAAGGGAAGGGAAGGGAATGGAATGGAAGGGAAGGGAAGGGAAGGGAATGGAAGGGAAGGGAAGGGAAGGGAATGGAAGGGAAGGAAGGGAATGGAAGGGAAGGGAAGGGAAGGGAATGGAAGTGAAGCGAAGGCGGGCGAAGAGCCACGTGATGCGGAATGCACCAGCTGAGCCCATCCCATCACGTACAGGCATCCATCTCGCCCGTTGAGGTAGACGCAGTAATACTGAATCTCCATCCATTGGGAAACAAGTTGCAAGATGCATGAGAGAAGGGAAGGGAAGAGAAGAGAAGAGAAGGGAGAGAAGAGGAGAGAAGAGACGAGCCACGAGACGGCCACAGCAGATTACAGCCCATCCCAGCACATACAGGCATCCATCTTGCCCGTTGAGGTAGAGCCCATCCACCCAGTAATACCGAATCTCCATCCAAGTGGGAGAGAACATAGAGGAACATGGAAAAGAAGCCAGACAACAAGTCACGTACAGGCATCCGTCTTGCCCGTTGAGGTAGAGCCCATCCACCCAGTAATACCGAATCTCCATCCATCGGTCCTCCGTTCCCCTCCCCCCCTCCCCCCTCTCCTCCGCCGCCCCCTTCCCCCCGTTCCCCTTCCCCCTCCTCGCTGCCAGCTCAGCGCTACGCGCCAGCTCAGCGTTCCGCGCCACGTCATCATACGCCAGGTGTACAACGCTGCCGACAGAATCGTGGCACGCGCGGATCAGCCCAGAGGACGAGATCAGCGAGCACATCTGCCCGTGAACGTTCTTCCGAAACACCAGCCTCGACTGCCCGCCCAGCGTCCCATTTGTCCCATTCATCCCATTCGTCCCACTCACCCCATTCTCCACCCTCTCGTCCCGCAGCAGAGAATACGTGAGGTCGAAAAACAGGTTCCTCATGTGCGAGTCCCCCACCAGCGCAAACCGAGTCAAAATCCCCACCCCCGGAATCCCAGAATCCGTCTCCCCACGCTCCATCTTCCCCTCCTCTCCCTCCCCCCCATCTATCCCAGTCCCTCCACTTCTCCCACCACCACCACCAGCACCACCGCCATCACCACCAGCACCACCACCACTGCCATCACCGTTCGCTGCAATGGCCTGCTCTTCTAGTGCAGGGCCGAGCGCAATGAGCAGATCTCTCAGCAGCTGCTTCTTGCTCTCGCACGCAAACGGGCCCTTCTCCTTGCAGCTCTCCTCCTCGTCACCCGTGAGCCTTCGTCGCACTGGCACAAGCTCGATCCCGCTCTCGCTCGTCCTTGCTGTGGCTGAAACAACAGCCTCTTGAGGCGCCTCAAAGGTCACTTCGCTTCCCGTGAGCCTTCGCCGCACTGGCACAAGCTCGATTCTGCTCTCACTCGCTGCCGCCGCCGCCGTCGTCGTCGTTGTGTGTGGAATACCACCAGCAGCAGCAGCAGCAGCAGCAGCAGCAGCAGAATCAGCAGCCAAGAGTTTCCTCGACCGCCCACCATCACCACCACCAGAAGCAGCAGCGGCGGCGGCGGCGGCAGCAGCTGCTGCCTTGCGCGCTCGTTTTTCTGTTGCTCGGAGCATGTTCCTGCTGCCCACGAGCGCCACTGACATGGCCGCACACGTGTAGGAGGTCCATCTGAAAAGGCGGTCGGGGGAAAGCGCCAAGTGAGGAGCAGGGTGGGGGAAACGTGAGATGAGCAAGGGGCATTGGAGTGGGTGGAAAGAAGTTCCTGCTGCCCACGAGCGCCACTGACATGGCCGCACACGTGTAGGAGGTCCATCTGAAATGGGGGAAGAGAAAGAGCAAAGTGCGGAGCAAAGTGAGGAGCAAAGTGAGGAGCAAAGTGAGGAGCAAAGTGCGGAGCAAAGTGAGGAGCAAAGTGAGGAGCAAAGTGCGGAGCAAAGTGAGGAGCAAGGTGAGGAGCAAAGTGAGGAGCAAAGTGAGGAGCAAAGTGCGGAGCAAAGTGAGGAGCAAAGTGAGGAGCAAGGTGAGGAGCAAAGTGAGGAGCAAAGTGAGGAGCAAGGTGAGGAGCAAAGTGAGGAGCAAAGTGAGGAGCAAAGTGAGGAGCAAAGTGAGGAGCAAAGTGAGGAGCAAAGTGAGGAGCAAAGTGAGGAGCAAAGTGAGGATCGAAGCGAAGAGGAGGGGGGGTACTGGGGATGGATGGACAGACAGACAGACACCAGCGGCGCACGCTCCTGCTGCCTTCAATAAACGCGAAAACCTCTTCTCACCATGCTAAAGCCCTACAAAGCCGCACAGAACGCCTTCGAACCGAACGAAGCCCCACCCCAGTCACTTGTACGATCCGTTGGGTCGTCTCAGCCAGCGGACAATGAAAAAACAAAAACCACTTTGCACCGCACTCAAACCCACCCCACTCACTTGTACGATCCGTTGGGTCGTCTCAACCAGCGCGCGAACGTGCCCACGGAGCAGGGCGACGGAATCGCCGCCACCTCGAACCCCACGTCGCCCTCCCAATCCCCCCCCGCGCCCGCGCCCGCGCCCGCCCCCGCGACCACTCCCGCTCCTGCGCCGCCCGCTTCCGCGCCCGCCTCTACGCCCGCCCCTGCGGCGGAACGGCGCGCGGAAGCGGGGGCGGAGGGGAAGGAGACGGGGGACGGGGGAGTGGCGGGGGAGGCGGGGGGGGAGGCGGCGGGGTGGACGTGCACGCGGAAGTAGCGCACCTCCCCCGGACCCGGCGGGGTATCATAGCGCGAACCGACGGCGCTCTCGTGCGTGCAGTCCGCGCGCACGATGCCCCTGTTATTTGGGGTAATTCCGAGTAAAAAGCCAAAGAAAGAAGAAGAAAGTGGAAATTACTCAAAATCGTAATGTAACAGAACGAGAGAGAGAGAGAAAAAAAAACAACTCTAGAGAGGCTCCATATAGGCACGCCCTCAAACTTCCAGGCCCAAACCTTTGTTACGTATAGTAACATCCTTACGCAACTTGAGACCCACCCCCGCACGTACTTGAGACCAACTTAGGTATAGTAACACCCATATTCTCGCTCCCCACGCACTCAAGTCTGCAACAGCGGCCCGTTGAGACCCATCCCGCACGCACCTGTAATCACCGACGTCCCAGCCCAGCAAGGACAGCTGCAGCAGCGTACATTCGGTCAACACCCCCCCCCCCCCTCTCCCTCTCCTTCCCGCCAGCCCCCCCACCCCCCGCACCTATAGTCACACCTATCACTTCCCGCACGCACCTGTGATCACCGACGTCCCAGCCCAGCACGGACAGCTGCAGCAGCAACTCTAGAGCCTCCGCACTTGGCAGCAGTCACGCAACATACATAGTCACACCTTGTTACGGTATAGTCACATCCCCCCCGCACAAGTCACATACCCCCCACCCCCCCCCCCCCCCCCCCCCCGCACAAGTCACACCCCCCACGCACCTGTAATCGCCCACGTCCCAAATCAGCACGGACAGCTGCAGCAGCGGCCCGTTCGGCGTCGCCGTCTGCGAAACCAGCGAAGCGTGCTGCAGCGACGGGCCGTATAGGGTTACCATCACGTCCGCCAGGAGCACTTCCGTGTGCGGCAGCAGCAGCCGCTCCAGCTCTTGAATCTCGTCGTCGAACCGTAACGCCATCGCGGATTTCGCCGCGGGTTTCGCAACCTCCTCCTTCTCCTCCTTCTTCACGTCCCCCATCGCGTCATTTGTCCCGTTAAGAGCGTGCTTCGGTACAAGCAGCAGGAGGGAGCAGGGGACGCCGGCGTAGCACACGTGCGGGCGCTGGTTGTTTAGCTGCGCCCAATCGTACTTGTCTATTATCAAATAATCCTTGCGCGACCGAAGTTTCACCGGCGCAGGGGGCTTGAACGGACGGGGAGCGGCGGGGGAGCTGGCGCGGAGTGAAGGGGGAGGGGGGAATAGGAGGGGGGAGGGAGGGGGGAGCAGGGGAGGAGGGAGGGTCGGGGGGGATGGGAGGGTGGGGAGGAAACGGAGAGGAGGGGAGAGGCGGGGTGAGTGGAAGAAGAAGAAACGCGTGTGCGTCTGCGCATGTGCGTGCGTTAAGTGAGAGGCGAGAAACGGAGAGCGGGACGAGCTAGAGCCAGAAAGAGGGAGAGGGGGGAACGGGAGAATGGGGGACGGGAGGCGGGGGGGCGGGGTGGAAGAGTAGGGGTGGAGGGATGGGGTTCGAGGAAGAGAGAGGAATGGGTGGGGCACGGTAGGTGATTCAGCGAAAATGCACACTGCAAAAGCACCTTGCGCCGAACCACCTTGCGCCGAACCACCTTGCGCCGAACCACCTTGCGCCGAACCACCTTGCGCCGAACCACCTTGCGCCGAACCACCTTGCGCCGAACCACCTTGCGCCGAACCACCTTGCGCCGAACCACCTTGCGCCGAACCACCTTGCGCCGAACCACCTTGCGCCGAACCACCTTGCGCCGAACCACCTTGCGCCGAACCACCTTGCGCCGAACTACCTGGTGGTTTTCACGCTGCTGTTGACTCTCCGGTCCCCAGCCTTCGCTAAGATCCGGTTCGTTACAAGTACTTCTGCCTCCCGTCCACCCTGCACGCACGCCAGGCATTGAAACAGCACGCAGCGAGAACGAACGAGCGACGCGCAGCGGAGCGGAACGGAACGGCACGCAGCGAGGGGCAAGCGCGGGGGCGGAAGAGCAATTGGATAATGAAGTAGAGGGGAACGAGAAACGAACAGCAGGCAGATGAGAAACGAGAAGCGAGAAGGCCTAGAGTGAGGGAGGGAGGGGGAGGGGGAGGGGAAGAGGCGAGGGGGAGGGAAGGGAAAGGAGGGGAAGGGGGTGAATGAGAGAGAGGAGAAGGGGGACTGGAAAGGGGGAAGGGGAGATGATAGCAGCAGCGCGCATGACCAGAAACTTCCTTGTGGCGCGCTTGCGAGTCCGCGGAGTGCGACGAAGAGTGCGACGCGTGCGGTGATGCATGCGATGCGTGCGAGTGCGCGTGATTACTGCGCAGTGGGGGACCAACGTGATTACAGTCTTTGAGCAACTACTCCCGTGCCCAATGCGGAAAGTGCGACGCATACGATGCGATGCGAAGTGCGACGCGTGCGATGAGTGCGACGCGGGCACTGCTGCGGAGCCGCGGAAACAACGACCACTGCGACGACAGCGACCACTCCAGCGACAGCGTGCAATGCAGAGCGCGCCGCTATAAGGAGCTACATGTCGAACGTGACTAGCTATGATACGCACTGCCTGCTGTTCGTATCTCTGCTCGAGAGGTTAGCTTCCGAAATGCAATGCGGCGACAGCGTGTGAAATTGCGGCCGTGACGTGTGCAATTGCGGCGGCGCCTCACCAGGAACATGCCGAGCGTGACCAGCGACGCGACCGTCAGCGCGAGTGCCCCGATAAAGAGCCGTCTCGATAAAAGCGACACCACGGTGTCCACTGTACACCTATCGGAACCCGCTTTCGGCATGGCGAACTTCGCAGCGTTCTTCGCAGCCTCGCCGGGGCCGTCGCCGGCCGTCGCCGCCAGTGCAACATTCCTATCGCTTCCGCGATTCGGCGACGATGGCATGGCTTCTAACGACGAGAATGCGTCTTGTACTCGCGGGGCCATTCTGAGTTGAGGCGAGCGGGGTTGCGTAGAGGAAGATCTAGAGCTACAAAGGGACTCATGCATGTGCAACGAATCTTTTGAGAAACTAACTCTTAACGGTGCGGCTAGTAGCGAAGCGAGTAAGGGTGGTGGTGGCAGAATGCGACGGGCGGCGCTTAGGCATAGAAGGGCAAGGTCGCGATTCGGCGCCAGAAAAGCTCCTAAATCGATCTGAGTTTTATTTTTCCAAGCAGAAGGCTGTTTCGGGGAACAATGTGCGTATGCCGGTGAGACGCGGAGGCGAGAAGAAGAAACTCGCGCTGGTTCTGCGTGGATCGAGTCGATTCAGCGCTGAGACGCTGAGACGCTGAGAAGCTGGGACGTTGGGACGCTGAGAGAATGTGACGGTGAGACAAGGGGCCGCTGCTTGCTGGAGGTGCTTCCTTCCCTGAGTACGACTATCCGGTGACGGAATACGGCACGCTTCTCCTCGGCTGGCTAGCTTTGCCTTGTCACATCACAACTCTCGACGAGATGAACTGGTCTAGTAAGAGAGAAAACTCTTATTCTATTACTACAATATACCTGCGTCACTGACGGCCATGCTGGCTTTGCTTGACTGTATTGTAGATTCTGACAAGAAAATTCTGACGAGGTGAAGGTCCATGCTTCTGGTCGGTCGCGCACGCTCCACTATCGGTCCATGTTTCACTGAATAATGTCTCGTCTTGTCGCCTCTTATTCTGGTGACATGTCTCTCTGCTCCCTGTTACAAGCTGGTTCAACTTGACCCTCCCCCGCCACAGACAAGTGCGAACTTCGGTGTTGTCGGATGAGAAAAAATCGGACGGCGGAAAATACCACACGCGGGAACATTCCGAGGGCGGAAACACCAAGGCATTGCGGGGTGCTTGGCTTGGGGTGAAGGGGGAGAGACCTTCCCAGCCCCAGCAGGTTGAGGTAGAAGGGGTGGGGTGAAAGGGGATGGGGGGAGGGAAGGGGGAGGAAGGAGAGGAAGAGTGGGGGAGGGAACATACTACACGGGGGAGGCGGTTTGTGTTGCAAAAGGCCCGTTCTGACGAATCGGCTCAAGACGCGGTGTTTCTGGGGCAGAGAGGTGTAAGGATAAAACTAGTAGTCAGATGGTTAAAGAAGGATTTAGAACATGTTTAGGCGTTAAATCGTGGTTGATTTTCATGTGTCAGACTTCCAGGTCGCACGCGCCCCGACCTCAGTCTCGTTCACATTCGCGAATCGCGATGATGTTTCCTCCTCGCGTCTGCCCTCTGACAGCGCTGGTCACGGGGGTTTTTTCATGATCGCCTCACGGGCGACAGGTGCGAAGTACGCTGTACGATGCGCCTCTCCACTCCACACAGCCGCTGGCGACGACGACCATGGATCGGTTCATCACTCGGCGCCAAGTGCCAAAGCAGATTTCGTGGTGTCGGTTGAGGAGTTGGTGAGGGCTCTCGGTTCAGGGAAAATATGCCACACGTAATCAACAAGGGTCTCGATAATTTGTTTGGTAAAAAAAATGGGTACGGTCAAAGGAAAGGGTGTTTTCACGTGTTTGATAAAGCGTTTCACGGAATCTCAGTCACAATCAACTGGGAAAAAAAAACGCGAATGGTCACAGATGAAACTCCCGCCCAAAAAAGATAATACCCAAAACGAACCTGGATGCATTTTCGGATGAATCAACCCTAAACACAATTCGCCAGGTGTTTAGGGTTGATCCGTTCCCAAACCGCATCCAATTCCGATTGGGTTTTAGTTTTTTTTAGAAGTTAGATGATTGGTTGGACGCGAGCGGGAATATTGTAGAGTTTCAAGAATTTTTGGCGGGAGTTACATGTGTGACCATTCGCGTGATTTTTCACCTGTTGTTAGTGACTGAATCCGTGACCCCGATTACCAAAACCGTCAGGAAACCCGATACAGTGACCGTACGCGTTTTTTTTGTACCATTCACGTTATCGGGTCCCATGTTCGTTACGTGTGGCATATTTTCCCCTCGGTTCAAGGGTAAACAACTACAATGTTGGTACACTCCGTAATTTTCACGTTACAATTTGGTTTGTTGCAAAGTCTGATTCCCTTATGTGGAGGCCCTATTAGTCCCAGTGTTACGGGTGCAATGAATCGAGGTAGCGAGGATTGCACTAAGTGTCAAACGAGTACAAAATGTGAGCGAAGGCATGAGCGAACATTTATACGCGAAACATGCAAACGGTAACGTGGTGCGTGCGAGCTAGCTAGTGTTATGCTGGCATCGAGGTTCGGGCTAGTCCCGAAGCGTAGGCCGACACGGCCGGGCCAGCAGTGCAAGGTTTGGTGAAACAGTGCGCGCGAGGTCGGCGAAGCCCCGTTAGCAGTAACGGGCGAACAACGGCTGCTGCTGTACGCGATGTTGCAGGGCGCGCTAAGGAATGTCGAGAAAATTCCTTACACTACCCCCTCCCCCCCCCCAAAGAAGCCCCCTCCGCTACGCGAGTGCGTGTATATCGCGGAGACCCCGGCTCCTCAGGTACTCTTGCAGGGCAGGGTGGTTTTCAATGTTGGCTAGGGGCACCCAGCTATCCTCATTTGGTGTGCGGTCCTTCCAGCGAACGAGGAATTCAATCCTCTTGATTCCCGTGGGGTGTCGAATTCGATGGCTCGGGATTTTTTCGGGCTCGATGGTCGGCTCCGATGTAGGGCGAGTCATGGATGGCGGGCAGTGACGAGGCAGTTGGCTTGTGGTTGGGATGTATGGGCGAAGCAGGCTGACGTGGAATGAAGGGCTGATGTATCAGTCTGTCGGCAATAGTAAATGTGCTGTCACTGGGGTGATCATGTGGCTGAATTGGAATGGCCCACAGTAATGCGGTCGTAATTTCGGGACGACGGGCAGTCTTAAGTTCTGTGTGTCGAGTAGTACATAGTCTCCTGACTGATACGTGACTGGGCGGCGGTGGCGGTCAGCGTTGCGTTTAGCGATGACGTTGGCTTTTTTAATTGCTTCGGCGGCTCTGGGGCGGGCAGCTTGCATGATCTCGGCGAATTGTTGTGCGCGTGGCGTTGGGTTGTCCGGACTCGGCGTCATGGGCACTGTAGGATTTTGCCCGTAGTTCAGGTAGAACGGGGAATGCTGCGTCGTCGCTGACGTGGCATTGTTGTACGTGAACTCAATCAGCGGCAGCTGCTGCTTCCAAGTTGTCGGGTCGTCGCACGTGGCACGAATCAACTGCTCCATCGTCTGATTCGTCCGCTCCGTTTGACCGTCGGTCTCGGGGTGGTACGACGAGCTGAACTGTAGCCTGGTCCCGAACTGCTCCCAGAGGTTCTTCCAGAAATTGCTGGTGAACTTCGTGTCGCGGTCACTGATTATCGCGGCTGGTATCCCGTGCAGTCGAACGACGGCCGCGATGAACAGGCGAGCGGTTTCTTCGGCTGAGATCGATTTCTTGCACGCAGCGAAGTGTGCCATCTTCGTCAACCTGTCAACGACGACCATAACCACGTCGTTACCCCCAGGGTTTGAAGGTAACCCTGTGACGAAATCTATGGTAACCTGCTGCCAGGCGCGCTTAGGCGGTGGAATCGGCTGCAACTGACCCGCCTTTCTTTTTCGCGAGCTCTTCATCACCTGACACGTAGGACACGAGCCCACGTGGTGCTGTACGTCGGTCAACAGCTCCGGCCAGTAGTAATACCGCTGCAGTTGCTGTCGCGTTTTTTCTACCCCGAAATGTCCCGAGGTAATCCCGTCATGTGCTTCCTGCAGTAACAGTTCCCTCAGTAGTGAGTACACAGGTACCCAGATGCGGCTTGTTCCTGTTTTTACGTAATAGACTCCTTTTGCTTCTGCCAGTTGCTGTGAATTTCCGGTCATGAAAAATGGGTCGGTACTGTATCCGTGGGTGAATAGGCCTGTTAGCAGTGGGTTGGTTTGGGCGAGTAGAATGGCGTGGAGTTGGGCGGTGGGGCGTGTGAGTGCGTCGGCGATGTTGGATGCACCTTTTTTGTACGTGACCGTGTAGTGGAAGTTGGACTCCAGATAGTCCAACCAGCGGATCTGTCGCGGGTTGAGATTCGGTTGGGCGCGAAGGTACTGTAGTGATCGGTGGTCTGTCCGTACTGTCACGTCTGCTCCCGTGAGGTAACATCGCCACACCTTAAACGCGTGCACGATCGCCAGCATCTCGTGGTCGTGTATCGGATAGTTGCGTTCGGGCGGGTGAAGCTTGCGGGACTCGTACGCGATTGGCTGGAGGCCGTTCCCGAAGTCCTGCAATAATAGTGCTCCCACAGCAATGTCGCTAGCATCGGTGACGAGCTCGAACGGACGGTGCGGATCTGCGATGTGAAGCACGGGCGGAGAGCACAAAATATTTTTGAGGGCCGAGAAGGCAGCTTGCTCTTTCTCCCTCCACGTGTACTCAACCCCCTTCCTCAGCAGGTCGGTCAACGGGGCAGCCAGCTTCGCCATGTCGGGGACGAACCGGCGCACGTAGTTGACGAACCCCAGAAAACTCTGCAACTTGGTCAAGTTGGTCAGCGCGTGCCATGCTTGAATCGTCGCAATTTTCTTTGGGTCTATTTCCACTCCATCAGCTGAAATGATGTGTCCCAAAAACTCCAGTCGGTCCTGTAAAAACTCACGCTTAGAGGCTTTGGTCAGTAGGCGGTTCTCACTCAGTATTTAAAAAACGGCTTCGTGTCAGAACTATATTGTAGGCTGTAGTGGGGCATACCTCATGGGGTACAGTATTGTTAGGTTTTGTCTATACAACCCTTGTACGGTCCTGTTTCTAGTCATCCTCGTTTCTTACTTTGTAACATGGTTTCAGAGCAGGTTCCCCAGTGGGAACGTTTTTATTAGGGCCCACCAC